GTGATGGAGCTGGGTGCATGGAGGGGCTGTGCTGGGTGCCAGGGACCTCCCCGCTGTGCCCTGGTGCCCCCCAGCTGGGCAGGGGCCGGCCCCCCCCACTGTGACCCACGGCAGACCCCTGGGATCCTCTGGGATCTGGTGAGCCCATGTAGGATCTGGTGACCCCATAGGGAATCCGCTGTGGCCCCTCACGGCTCTGACCCCACCGCTGGGGGGGATCTGGTGTGTCTGGCATGGAATCCAGTGGGGTCTGTAGGGGGATCCAGCATGACCAGCATGGGATCCAGCTCCCAACAGGATCACATGGGATGATCTCTGGGGAACCCCTGCGGGATCCTGCGCAAGCAGCCTGGGATCTGGCACCCGAGATCTCTCTGTGGGCTGTCAGACTGGAGCAGGATCCGCAGGCAGATTTCCTGCAATCCAGCGTGGGATCCGGTGCCGGGAGGAGGCCCAGGCGTTGCCCAGCACCCGAGCAGATACGCTGTGATCTGGTGGCAGGAGCACAGTCCCGGTGGGAGCCCCAGGCAGATCCACTATGACCCAGGGTGGGATCCAGTGGCCATATCTCAGTCCAGAGGGAACCGGTGCCTCACACAGCTCCACAGCCACCCGTCATGGGATCCAGTGGCCCAGCAGATTCCCCACGATCCATCGGTGACGGAGCCCCAGGAGCGGCGTGGCCGTGGCCGGGCAGGGCCGGGGGGCTCAGGGACACCCCTGGTCCCGGTGCCCAGTGCCCACCTTCTCCTGCAGCTTCTCCATCTCCTCCTTGTGTGCCAGCTCCGACTCCTCCAGCACCCGCCGCTGTGCCGTCTCCTTCTTCAGGAACTCGATCTCCCTGTGGGAATCGACGTGTGGGTGCATAGCTGCCCCCCTGGCACTGGAGACTCCTCAGGGAGGGGGACCAGGGCAGGGGGATCCTGGGACATCCAGCTCAAGGCAGGGAATGAGGGATGCACAGGAGCCCCAGGGATCAAGGAATCATCAAATCATGGAATAGTTTGAGTTGGAAAGGTCCTGATGCCCCACGGATCATGGAACCATCAAATGATGGAATAGCTGGTGTTGGAAGGGACCTTAAAGCTCATCTCATCCCAACCCCTGCTATGGGCAGGGACAACTTCCACTATCCCAGACTTCTCCAAGCCCTGTCCAACCTGGCCTTGATGGATCCACATCACAGGGAAGGTCCCTGCACAGGGAGTGGTCTGTGCCAAAGGAACAAAGGGTGCCCAGGAAGGATTAGATACCCCAGGGATGGGTCTCTGTCAAGAGGAAGGCTCCTTCCTAGGGTATGGTCCATGAACAGGATGGAGTTGGTTCCCCAGGAATGAGTTCCTGCCCAGTGGAAGGTCCCTGCCCAGGGACAAAGGGTGCCCATGAAGAGATCAGAGCCCCACAAGAGGGTCCACGCCAAGGGCATGATCTGTGCCCAGGTTATGTGGCTGTTCCCAGGGACAGGGGGTGCCTGGGAAGGATCTGGTTCCTTCAGGATGGATTCATGCCCAGAGGATGGCCCAGCCCAATTGCACAGTCTGTGCCCATGCACAGGGGGTGCCAGGGGAAGATCTGGTTCCTGGGGGACAGGTCCATGCCCAGGGGATGGCTCAGCCTGATGTTCCCAGTGACGAAGGGTGCCCAAGAAGGATCTCGTTCCTGGGGAATGGATCCATGTCTGGGGGATGGCCCAGCCCAATGGCACAGTCTGTGCCCAGGGATCAGGGGTGCCAGGGGAAGATCTGGTTCCTGGGGGATGGATCCATGCCCAGAGGATGGCCCAGCCCAATGTTCCCAGGCACCAGGAGTTTCTGGGGAGGGGTCAGTTCCCAGGAGATGGGTCCATGCCCAGGTGTACATGGGGTGCCTGAGGGAGGACGGGCAGGGGGTGGGCGCTGCCCTCACTTCTGCTGGTACTCCTTGATGAGCCGCTTGGCCTTGCTGTACTTGCGCTCCAGGGTCTGGTACTGGGCCTGGGTCTCCTTGAGGTGCTCGTCCACAGCCTGGCACAGGTTCTGGGCCTCCATCCAGTATCCTTCCAGCTTCTCCATCCGCTCCTTGTTCTCCTCCACGCTCTGCTCCAGCTGGGCCTTCTCGGCCCGCCAGCGTGCCTTCTCCTGCTCCAGGCACTGCAGCTGGGGGTGGCACAGCATGGCACAGTCAGGGAGCAGGATATGACACGGCATGGAATAGTCAGGGAGCAAGATACGGCACAGCATGGTATGGCAGAGTCAGGGAACAGGATATGGCATGGCATGGCACAGTATGGCATAAACAGGGAAAAGGCATGCCATGGCACAGAAGGGCACAAACAGGGAACAGGCATGGCATGGCACAGCCAGGTGACAGGCAGAACATGGCACAGCACGTGCAGGGCAGGGGTGGGGATGTGAGGAACTTGGAAAGGATGGTGGAGATGGAGATCCAGGGGTGCTAGGGGAGATGTCAGTGTGTTCCCCCCTCCCCGGGCAGCCGGAACCCCCAGACCTCCACTCACCTTCCTCTTGAGCTGCTGGATCTCGGCCTCGGTGACGGCGTGTTTGATCTGGAGCTGTGGGAGGAGCCAGTGTGGGCACGGGGTGGGCACACACGTGTGGGCACCTCCCTCTCCCCCGGCTTCCCCCCAGCTCCTCCTCACCTCTTTGAACTTGTGCACCAGCTTCTCAGGGTCCATCTCCACAGGGGACAGCGTGTCCTCGTTCTCGGCCAGCTCAAACACCTCGATGGCCATCTCCCCGCCAGGGAACATGGGGCTCATCTCCTCCTCCTCATCCGTGGCATATTCACCCGTCTGGGGAGGGTACAGGGCACCATTGGCACCCTCACCCGGTGAAATGGCACCACCGGCCCAGTATGGGGGGAGGACCCTGGGTGGGTGGGCATTGTCCCCTCACCTCCTCGTCGTCCTCAGTGTACTGGGTGTAGCGCTGCTCAATCATCTCCCGCTGCCACCGCTCCTGCTCCAGCGTCTGTTGGATCAACTGTGCCACCTCGCTCTGCTCCCCCGGCTTCTCCCGCCCGATTAGGAACCTGGGGGGCAGCAGGGCATGGAGGGGTCAGCAGGGACAGAGGGTCCTGGCCACAGGGTGACAGGGCAGCGGGACACATCTGAGGGCCATCCCTGCAGTTCTCCTGGGTTTAGGGGGAGTTATGGGAGCTGGGAAGGAGTTGGGGGCGTTTTGGGGGTGACTCGGGTGGCACAGGGCAGGCAGTGGGTATGAGGAGGGAGTGGTATTTATGAGGGAGGAGTGGTATTTCAGGGAACAGCCCAGCTTGGGGACAGGCAATGGGGCAGGGACCACAGGGCTCTCAGCACAGATTCTGGGGGTCTCCCAGCCCCCCAAGTCCCCCAGCCCCAAGTCCTACCGGACACGGCCCTTGGTGTTCCTGAGGACGGAGGCAGCGAAGCTCTGGGTCACCCCCACCAGGCTGGTGCCATCCACCTCCACGATCAGATCGTTCACCTGGATCCTGGGGACAAGGGGACCATCAGAACAGGGCTATCCCTTGCCCACCTCCCCTACCCCAGGAACAGCTGGATCATCATCTGCTCCCACCATGGGAACAGCTGGGTCATCACCTGCTCCCATCCTGGGAACACCTGGATCATCTGCTTGCTCCCACCATGGGAACACCTGGACCATGTCCCTGCTCCCATCCTGGGAACACATGGACCACTGGCCTGCTCCCACACCAGGGTACACCTAGATCATCTCCCTGCTCCCAGGGAACACCTGGACCATGTCCCTGCTCCCATCCCTGTGCCAGGAGCAGCTACACAGGTGGGCAGTCCCCCCAGCCCATACCTGCCATCCCGATGGGCCGCCCCTCCTTCCGTCACCGTCTTGACAAAGATTCCCAGCTTCTCCAGGCCCATGTCGGCCCCCGCTCCCATCCCGATGATGCTGATCCCCAACCCTTCGGAGTCTGTGGGGACAGACAGACGTGTCCTGGAAGGGTGACCATGGCCACCCAACACCACAGAGTCACCTCCACGGTGCCCCAGTGGTCCTGGGGTGTGGAATAGGGTGAGGACTCACCTTTCTCCAGCTCCACAGGGAAGAGATCGAGTCTCTCCACCCTCTTCTCCAGCTCATACTCGGCCGAGGCGGCCATGGGGTCAACATCCTCATTGCGGCGGTCATAGTCCTCGTTGGAGTAAGTGCTGAACACCTGATGGGAAAAGAGAACTGCTCAACCAGGTGGGAAAACGCCAGGGACACCACAACAATGGAAATCCCGGGGTGGGAGAGGCCCGGGCACGGGCGGCATGGGAGAATGAGCCTGTGAGACACCGGAGAATCCCCCTCCCCACATCGTGTCGTGGAGCGAGGGGGAGATGAGGAAGGACAAAGGGTTTGGAGGAGGCTCCAGGAGAGGAGGTGATGCCCGTAACCCATGGAAGGATGGATGGATGGATGGATGGATGGATGGATGGATGGATGGATGGATGGAGGCATGGATGGGTGGATGGATGGATGGACAGATGGCTGGCTGGCTGGATGAATAGGTGCATGGATGGAGGGAAGGAGGGAGGGATAGATGGAGGGATGGATGGATGACTGGAAAAAGGAAGGAAAGAAAGATGGATAGGTGGAAGAACAGATGGATGAAATGAAGGATAAATAGAAGGATGGGGCACCTAAAATCCCTGGGGATGTTGACCCTTGTTGTGGGGCACCCCAAAACCTGCACCAAATCCCCAGGGATGTTGACTCCTCTCATGGGGCACCCCAAAACCGTCCTGTGTCAAATCCTCAGGAACACTGACCCTTGTTGTGGGGCACCTCTTCACTCTCCCATGACAAATCCCTGGGGACGCTGACCCTATCGTGAGGCACCCCTAAACCCCCCTGGCTGAGGACAGATGTGCCTCCAGGACATTGTCCCCAGCATGGAGCCAGAGGGAGTGGGTGCCACATCCCCTGGGGGCTCCTGGGGAGGGGTTGGAGGGGGCTGGGCCTGGCAGATGTCCCTGGAGGGGCCCCAGCCCCTCAATGCTGTCGGAGTGAGTGGATTAGGGATAACACTGTGGTGATAAAGCCTGGACACAAAGGGTATTAGAGATGAGTGTCAGGGGACAAAGCCCAGTAACATCCACAGAAGGGCAGGACCCACACGGGTGGCACCCAGAGGTGACAGGGAGGAGCAGGGCAGGGGATGTGCCAATGTGCCCCCATCCACACAAACTCCCTAGGGGGCTGTGGGCACATATCCCCCCTCACTCTGGTGTGCCCCCCACCCCACTCCAGGCCCTGGGGGATTTGGGATGTGGGGGGGGCCTGGAGTAGATTCCAAGGGAGAAGCAGCTGAAGCCAAGGGAAGGGGCTGGTGGTGTGTGCCCCCAGTGCTGGGCTGGGTGGGGGTCCTCAATGTCTCCAACCCCTATAGTGGGTTTGGAGGATTCAGCAGGGAGATTCCTGGGCAGGGGCCTGGATCCCCCTCTCCACCCACCCCCACACATAGGATCCCCCCCCCAACACCCTGAGGTGGGTAAAAGCAAGAGGTTAAAGGCTGTGCTGGGGTGAACAGAGCACCCCAAAAATGCATCCATGGCCAGGGCACCATTCCCAGGGCCAGCTTGGCTGGTTGCCACAGGACTGCAACGTGCAGCCACTCGAGCACACGGTCACCACTGCCACCTTCCCAGGCCACGGTGCTCCCTGTCCCCCGTCCCCCTGTCCCAGGTGGGGCCACCCACCCGCTCTGACTCAGAGCCAGAATATAGGCCGGGGCTCTAAAAATAACCCGGCTCCAGCACAGAGCAACCGCTGCTCCTGCGGTCGGAGGGATCCATATAGGAGAGAACACCCCAAAATAGCTGCACGGCCCCTTTACCCCCCACCCTTCACTGGGGGACCATCCTGGGGAGGGACCCCAAATCCTGCCAGGATCCCCAGCAGAGAGCAGGGGGTGCTCAGGCGATGCCGCCCACCCAGCCATGCTGCCACGGCACTTCCCCTTCCTCCACTTCCTGAAACAGTTCTGGGCACTAGGCTGGGCACACAAGGGGGGGCACATCCCTCCCCCCAGTGCCACCTTGTCCTCTGGGACACCCGCTTTGGTAGGAGTCCTGGCACCAAGGGACGCCCAGGACCAAGGGTGGCACAGCCCCAGTACCCAGCACCTCGTATACGGATATTTTAGGTATCCCCTCACAAAATATGGTGTGCGTCTTGGCCCGTCCCGGGAGGGTTGGCACTGGTTGCTGTGCACAGTCCACCACAACGGGTACCTAAGCCCATCACACCAGCCCCAGGGGGCCTCTCGTTGGCATGGGGTGCCCACCATGCCTGGGCATGGCCCTTCATTAACCAGCTCGTTAGCCAGGCCCAGGTCCAGCTTCCTGCAGTGCAAGGGCATGACCAGGAGGATTGCCATGGCCCATGGAGGGCACAGACCTTCACCCCATTTCTCTGTGTCCTCCAAAGGGGTGGTTTTGTGGGGGTTGCATACACCAGTTTGGGCTGCCCCTCACCCTGGGCCACCCTTCCCCTTAGGGTACCTCTCATCTCAGGCTGCTTGCCCACCTGGGGCCCAATTGGATATAGCCAGGGTACCCCTCACCCTGAGCACCCTCACCTTAAGGTTTTCCTCATCCTAAGGTGCCGCTCACCTTGGAGTACCTCTCACCCTGGTTACCCCTCACCCTGGGTACCTGTCACACTGGTTATCCCTCACCCTGCAGTGCCCTTCACCCCAGGTTCCCTTCCTCCCCAGCCACCCTCCACTCCCAGTCAGTCTCACCTGGATGGGGGCCGTGCTGAACTGGATCTTGCGGTTGGGGATGGGCTCTTCTTCTTCGGACAGCCCAGGGATCTCCACACAACCCGACTCAGGCTCGTAGAGCCCTTCGACCTCCTCCTCCTCCTCCAGCCCGCTGCCCCCCGAGTCATCCCCGAGCCCGCTGTAGGCACTTATGTCCACCAGATCTGCCTCAGAGAAGTCCTCCTTCTTGGCCTCCTCGTAGCCATCACCCTCCTCCACCCGCTCGCCCTTGACGCCCTCCTTGCCTGCGGTCACCCCGGCACTCCCATCCAGCCGTGGGGTGGTAGCTGCCAGACCCTCGTCTCCCTTGGCCATTTGGGGAGCAGGTGGCACTGCTTCGCCCACTGCCACCACCTCCTCCTCCTCGTCCTCGCCCTCTCCGCTCTCGTCCACCTCCACCGGCTTGATCTTGCAGACCTCCTGCACCCGTGGGGTGGCCGGTTCCTTCTCCGCCGGCCTCACACTCTTGCTTGGCGCCTTCTCCTCCTCGGGTGGACGGGCGCGGGTTGGGGCAGGGTGCCCATCGCCCTGGCGCCCAGCCTCGGCACCCGGCACGAAGACCCGTGGCCGCTTGCCCACCACCTTGGCGTTGAGCGGTGCTCCCGCCCTGCCCTGCGTCTTGTGCAGGTTGTTCCGGAGATCGGCCTTCTCGAAGACGGCGCTGAGCTGGCTGACCGTGGGCGACACGGCGTCAGCATCCAGCTTGTCCAGGGACTCAGTGCTGCCGTTGAACCTCACAACCACGTCCAGTTTGCGGTCCTGGAAGCCGGCGCGCTCCTTGCGGAGCAGCAGTTTGGTGGTGGTGGCCTTCTCCTGCGGGCTCCTCTCGAAGATCTTGCGGGTCTCCTGCAGCTTGGAGAAGGGCTTGTCAGGCTTGGAGTCGAAGCGGCTGACCCGCTCCGAGACGCTGGTGCCCAGCTTGAGGAGGCTGCCCTGGTCCATGGTCTCGCTGAGGCTGCCGGCGCGGGGCAAGGAGAGGCGCACCGGCTTCTCCTTGGCCTTGGCCAGGTCGCAGGCGCCCTCGGGGCCGGGCGCCGTCCCCATCTGCAGGAACATGTTCTTGATCCGGTGGACGTTGGAGCCATACTTCTTGCCCCGGCTCTTCTTGCCGTCCTCGCCGCCGTCGGCCTCCTTTGTGGGCGCCAGGGCCTGGATGGTGGCCTCGTAGGCGTTCCGGTGCGGGGACGCGCTCCGCAGCCCCCCGCCGCCCGCCGCCCCGCCGGAGGAGGGGGACCCCCCACCGGCGGCCGCCCCTCCGCCTGCCTCCGTCCTCAGCATGGCTCCGCCGCTTCTCCCCGCAGCATCGCTCGCCACCGCCGCCCCCGCCGAGCCCCCCGCTCACGCCGCGGCCCCTCGCCGGCTACAGCGGCATCGGGGAGGGCGAGGATGCTGCCGGGGGGGGCCGCCGCCGGCACACCTGCACCGGCCGGCTGCCAGGCCCCGTCAGGCCATGTCCATCCTCGGCGGGGCCCCCCCTCCCGCCTTGCTCCGCCACGGCCCTTCTTCCTTCCTCCCTTCTCCTCCTCCTCTTCCCCTTTCTCTGTGGCTGGCGATGGATCCGCCGCTGCCTGCGCGCTCTGCCCGCCCCGCTGCCCGCAGAGCCCTCTGGGTCTTAGCAGCGCTCGCTCGCTCTTCCTCTTCCTCAGCGCCGCGCTTCGGCCTCAGCGCCGCCGCCGCCTCAGTCCGGCCATGGGGACCCCCCCCTCCACCCCCACCCCAAAGTCCCCGCTCCCCTTACGGTCCCCTCCCCGCACCCGCCCGGGGGTCCCCTCCCTGTGGCGTGTCCCCCCCAAGCATCCGCGCTGTGCAGTGTGGGTCCCCCCCCGCTCCGGCTTGGCCGCTGTTACCACCCCCCCCAGCTCTGTCCTCGTGCGTCCCCCCACCCCATCTCTGTCCCCTCCAGCTCTGTCCCCGTGTGTCTCTCAACTCCCCATGTCTGCTCTCAACCGTATCTGTCTGATT